TGGAACCACTTTGACACCTGTGACCTAACTACTATGCATGATTCTATCATAAGATCTGATGTAGAATCCAGAGTAAAGGTTTTATGAGTATCTTTGCAAGGATTCGCATGTTGTTAGTCTAAAGGTAGGGAATGAATATAACAGCCTAGTATGGACTGCAGAAAAGAGGAAGGCACCTCTGGTTCTGTTCCTCTGTTCAGAGGAAAGGTTTTAAATCAAAATGCACCCTATCAGCAACCTGGTAGTTGGTATGAATAAAAATATCCTTTCTAAGAGCAAATTTCATACCTTTTATTCTGCTTTTCCACACAGAAAATAAATTATATGAAATGCCAAGAATTTAGCAGTTTTCTGATTCAGGAAAGTTCTCCAAATTTTCTTTTTGTTGTGTCCTTTTCTTTTTATGATCAAGTATCGATTTATTGTCATGGATAGGAAAGATGAATGCTGGATCTGCATGCTGAATCTGAATGCTCAGATTTTGCTTGATTCTTTCAAATATTCTCAAGAATTTAGCAGAGTTTACAAGAATCAAGAATGCTGCAAAAATGTTAAGGATAAGATGAAAATCTGAGACATTTTATGACATTTTAATTTGTTACGCATCTAGATAATTGAATGGGAATTATCTCTGCTTTTGCATCTGTTTAGAATTGGATGTAAGGCTTTAGTACTAGCCCTGAAACTAGAGTATCAACACCAGCTGCTGATAGAAAGAAGACTGCTTTGAAGATAAGAGCGACCAGGTGGATTCTTTGACCCTGACTGACACCAGCTAGAAGGAGGGAATATGGGCACTGATGCAGGACAAGCTGGGGTCGGTGGAAAACATAGCAGAGGTGTCTGACCTCCTGACCAGTTCTCGGTTCTTTCCACACTATAAATGCTGTGTCTGTTAGCGTAGCCCCCAGAGGCTGGAGGCAATACCAGGAGACAGGGCCAGTACACCAGAAAACATGGAGGAGGCCATAGAAGGGCCTGCAAGATGAAGGCATTAAGTTATGGACTGGCCCGCCCGTTCTCCAGACCCCAGACCTGAATGCGATGGAGCACATCTGGGACTTCATGTCTCGATCCATCCACCAACTTCAGGTTGTGCTACAGACTGTCCAGGAGTTAGAGGATGTTTCAGTCCTCATTTTGGCACTCAGTGAAATACTCTATAATAAAACAAAATCAATATTTCAAGCCAATAGTGTTATTAGAATCAGGACAAGACCTTATTACCTTTGTAACATTAAAAAATTCTGGATATTTTAATGGCAAAAATTGTCAATATAATAACAAGAAACAGCAACTTGCCTGAATATATTAAGAAAAATAACAAAAGTGCCTCTATAAGAAATTCATGAAAAACACTCAGAGAAAGAAACACATTTTTTTTGGTGCAACATAACCTTAGTGGCATTAATGCTGATACTGGTACTTACATTTTTTAGGTTATAAACCTAAATATAATTGTTAACTAGGATTATTACATTTTTAACTTTTCGATTAGCTTTTTACCTTTATTCTTGACTTG